TCAAAGGGATCTCCAGAGGCTGCTGTGATTTTTCAGGCTGCAGGGCTCCACTCACACCTTCCCAAGGCCTTGGGGTGGCAGTTTAGAGCAGCCCCACACTCCACATGCTGCAGGAGCTGGGGAGGAGTCACTAAACACTCAACACTGAACAGGCAGGCAAAAACAACCCAGTCAGAAGAAGCAGGAATTTCAGCCCAAAGACCTTTCTAATTCACCAGCAAGACATGTGGGACCACACCAGGCAAAGCAAATACCACTGCTGGCTTCAACCCTTGGGTGCATTTGGGATGGAAACCTGAGGATTATAATTAATTCCTAAACTTCCCACAGTGGCCATTCTCTCTGCTGCTCCTCTTGCCCCCCACAATGAGAAGCTGCAGCTTGTCCAGCACCTCTGCCTGGCATGTGCCCTGACATGTTTCCACGTGTTTTCCATGAATGAGCAGAAGGTAAAGGGTTCAGTGTTTACCTGGACAGCCCCACTGGTGGCCCTGTGCATGTGCCTTGGAGTAAACATTTCGCTTGCTGCTGGCTCCACTAGAACACAACACAAACTCACAGCTTAAATTCCTAGAGGTTTACAACACCCACAGACATCCCTGTGGCTCCTGGGTTAGCAAGTGTTTATTTTTAGGAAGGATGTGGGTAAAGCCTGCAGTTGTGGCCAGTTGTCTCTGTGCTGGGTATCCACCCCCGTGCTGTGTAAGCCCACGAACATCCGTGTCTCCCTCTGTCTCATCCTCTGGTTCCAGTTGCTGCCTGCTCTGTGATGTCCCACCCAGACATGTAGGACATCCTGCGCACCCCAAAACCACACCACAATCCCCCCCTTGGTGTTACTTGCTTTGAGCCCCAAGAATGCTCCTGAGAGCTTCTTGGGACGCCTTTACTCCCCTCCCTGTCTCCCAGCACACAGGGGCAGGCTGTGGTTAGTCCTGCAAGACCAGCTCCTGGAGTTCTTGCATGAAAACAAAATAAAGAATGAAAAAAAAATCCCTCTTTTCCTTCCTGACTCTCCTGTGGGCACTGCTGCAGCACCTCCACTATCAGCCCCAAACCCCTTGGGCGTGGGGGGGAATGATGGATGGGGTCAGACAAAGCAGCTGAGATGCTGCTTAATGAGCAAGTGAAGTGAACATCACTATTGGCTGTGTTCAGCCTGGGAGGGGAAGCCTGGCCAGCAACAGCTTTGGGAAGCATTAACAAAGGGAGATTCAGGATTGGAGAAGATAAAGTAGAAGGGGGTGTGAAATGGCACTCTGTATCTGCTTTACATGCTTTGCTCCTCCCTCCCCGGGGGTTGCTAGGGATATTCACACAGCTTCCCACCTCCTGGTGAGTCCCCTGCCACAGTCTCTGGGGTGTCTTCTGCCCGGGGTCTCCTTCCAGCCTGTCCATACAGCCCAGAATCGTCCTCACTCCTCCCACAAGATGCCCAGGACATACCGGCTCTTCCCACCCTCCTGTGCCCACCTGTGAGCGACACAGAGCCCTCCCCACTCCTCCAGGAAGGAAATCCTGACTTCAGCCAGGTGTTTTCCTGAACAAACCATCACACAGAGATCAAAACAAAGAGCAGCTGGCATCAGGCAAGCACCATGAATGTGCCAGGCACAAAAAAACCAAACCAAAACACAACAAGGTACCAGTCTCTGTGTTCTCCCCCATACACGATCCCCCCTCCTCACAGGGAAATCCCACACTGCTGATCCCACAGGGATATCCTGCCACGATGCTGGACTGTACATTTACTCCTCATTGGACAATTCATTGTTGTAATCTCCACTTCAGCCACTGATCTGATTTGTCTGGGAGTGGCATCTGCTGCTCGGAATCAGCCTGGATTCATTTACATTTGCCCAGTGACAGCACGGGTGCTTTGTTTTCTTAGAAAACAAAACATGAGCATCATTAAATTAATCTATCCTCCTGTTTTTCCCAAACAAGATTAATTCAGAATTGCTTTGCTCAGGTCTGCCTCCCCACCACATTTTCAGAGCAGACTGTCTGAGCTCCTATTTCCTGAGCATGTGCACCAGAGCTCCCCTCCCGCGTTTCAGAACAAAGAGCAGATTCCCTTTGTTGTCCCGTAGCAACAACGTTCCAGATCAAGAGCCAGTCCCTGTCTTACTGAGCTTTCCCTGTTCTGCCTGGTTCCAGGTGCTCAGAGACATGTGGGATTTGTTTTGATGGGCAGGGCTGTGCTAAGACAGGATTGTTTCTTCTCCAGCTCCCATGGAGACAGCAAGGGAGAAATCCCAACATGGGTTTAAGCTTGCTTTCTGGCTTAGGGTCAGCGCTGGACTCCCTCTGGGATCCATCCAAACCACTGGCCTAAGCTGCTGTGTTTGTATTGCTGTTTAATTTGGGTCAAATAGAGTTAAGAGCACATCCCACTTTTTTTCCTTTTCAGCTAAGAGGTGGGCTGTGTTCCCCAAGCTCCCAGCAGAGCCCTGTAGTTCAGAGAGCTCTTGGTGCTTCAGAGGTTCACCTGTCAGCAGGAGAAGCAGTTGTACAGGATTTAACAGAGAGCAACAGGCTCAGGCAGCTGCCCTTGCCCCCTCTTTAATAACTGTACTACCAACCAGAGCCTGGGGAATTCACACAGCAGGCATCAAAACACTGGGAAGAGCATGGGAAGAGCACAAAGGGGAGTGGGCTGCTTTCCAGGATTTGCCTGTTTGATCACTAGAGAGATGTCAGGGCTGGACATTGAACATATGGGAGCACTTTCTATTTCCATCCTTTAGTACTGTCCCACAGGTTTAGACTAAAAACATCCCCTTGATTTAACTTATAACAGGATGAAAGGAACCGGGGAAAAAACATCAGCAAGAGCTGTTTCGCTGCAGATGGGGACACAGGCAAGTGGGAAAACCAGCAGGGATTCAAATCCACTGAGTTTTTTCAGTTTTTCAGCACCAGCCTGTGCCTGGGCAAAGTCTCTTTCCAAACCCAGGGGTCTAGCCCGTGCTATGGGATCCCCTGCCACAACAGGCACTGACAGGGGGCTCTGAGCTCTAGGGGAAGGCGTCCCTGCCCACGGCAGGGCAAAGAATGACATGAGCTTTAAGGTCCCTTTCCAACCCAAATAATTCTGTGATTCCAAGAGCAGCTGTTTCAGGGACTATCATGGGCACCCAGGGGTAACATCATGGCTCATGCACCAGAACTAACACGCCATGATAGTTCAGCTCCCCACAAACAGTCTGAGGCTGCCTCTCCTCCTGTCCCCTCTCTTCCCACTCCACATGCTGCTGCTCCCACTTAGGAAGGGGATGGAGCTTGTAAAGAGCTCCAGGCAGAGGCTGGGAGCTGGGGTGAGTGTCACTGTCCCACGACCTGAGGAAAGGCCCCTGTCACTGAGCTGAGGAAGTCTGGACTGCATCAGCTCTGTGCCTGGAAGAGCCCCGGCAGGATGCTGGAAGAGGGAGCAGGAGAGCTTGCTCTGGTGGGGCTCATTTACTGCCTTCTCATAACAAAACTATTACAGCAGCCGTGGTGCACTTCTGCATTAACAGGGCTTTGTTAATTGGCATCTGAACTGGAGCGGAAATGGTTAGAAAGATTTTCCTTGATTAAAATGTTGTCACTGATGGGGAATTCAACAGACCTCTGAGAAAACTCTTCCAGCCATAGCTTTGTTTTAAAGTCCATGGCTGGTTTCTAGCACGAGCACTTTATCTAATTACATCAAACCCTCACTCCATTTTAGCTTTATCAGCTAGAAGAGCCTAATAGCAAAGTTTAATCACTTCAACAAGTTGGCTACAGCAATCTCTTAATTTTCTGATAAGCCAAATTATTGAGCCAGACCCAGGGAAAGACTCAGACAGAACCAGCCGCTGCAGATGTTTAACTGCAAGCTCTGACACCAAAATCCAGGACCCAACACTTCCACGACACTTTTTAAACCTCCATGGGAGCTGCCCAAGTGGCCACCAGGAATGACAAAGCACAGAGACACACTGCCTGACCCAGTCAGACAAGGAAGCACATCATCCAAATTTACTCCCAAGGGTATAATCTTTGGGTATGCCCCAAAAGATATAACCTTTTCACATATAAATTATCCTGGAGCCACCTCCTTACGCACAATAACCTCTGGTTGGGGTATTCATGGAGGAAGGTGGACTCCCAGTTCAAGTTCTTCCTTATCCTCATGGTACTGAAGGGAGTTCATCCTCTGAAGAGGAGCCCTGGCCCTGCTTATGAACCAGGAGGGAAGATGGGAGAGGCAAAGAACATTTGGTTGTCAGTGGCCTCTCACTGTGGCCCAAGACAAGCAAACTGTTGGGCCAGAGGCAAGACAGGAATGCTTACTTGGGAGGCAGGTCTCTGCTCTGCTGCTGGGGCTTCTCATCCTTTCTGACCTCACACACACCTCACAGAGAGGTGGTGGAGTCTCCCTCCCTGGAGATATTCCAGAACTGTCAGGACACAGTCCTGTGCCATGTGTTCTAGGATGACCCTGCCTGAGCAGGGAGGCTGGGCCAGGTGACCCCCTGTGGCCCCTTCCACCCTGACCCATTCTGTGATTCTGGGAATACACTTCAGCAGCACAGAGCTCAAGGCTCCAGGACTGGTAAGGGGAGTGATTTCCAGGGATTTGCAGTGGCCTCTGTGCAAGGAGAGGAATTAAGAATTTGGACTCAGAATCTAGTTTACATGCTCAAAATCTGCTTTAGAGAAGAGGCCTTTCTCTGTGAAACATATTTTCTAGTCCTTTAACCATCCCACAACTTCACCTGGAGTTTCCTCCAGTTCCTGACTGTCCTCCTTGAGGTGTAGACACCAAACCCAGACACACCATTGCCAACAACAGCTGTCACACCCCACCACACACAGCTGACACAGGAGCAGCTCCATTTCTGACTCTATCAATGACAGGGGACACCCATTCTCAGAGCTGCCAGTCAGGGACTTTCCATCACTGGAAGTGGCACACACAAAGGAAAGAAACCTTCACCCCACACAAAAATGGAGAAAGAGGCACTTACCCACTTGTTCCAGGTCTCTGGGTCTGAGAGAAGCGCCAGTCTGTGTTGGGCTGAGCTTGCTGCAGAGAAAAATAAGAGTTTTAATACCTCCATTCTTTCCTTTGAAAAATGAAAGCGAGCTGATCCTGGATTATTTCAGTCTGGAATATCAGCATGTTCCTTCCAAGTGAAGCAAATCAATTAGAACAAAGAGAAAGCTCCCCCCTCCCTCTTTCTTGAGTATTTCTGAACCAGCATGAATACTGAAAAGCATGACAAAAACTGTTCAGAGAATGATCTTCCAAAGCAGCTCAGGAAACCAGGCTGTGAAAGAAATGAAGCATGAAATAAACTGATAAGGGCATCAATTCAGCAGGACCAGTGGTACCACAGTAATGAGCTTGGAGGAGGAAGGGGGGGGGTGGGGGTGGCAGAGTTAATTGATACTGAGGAAGATGCTTTTAATGCTCTAAGGTAAAATGGCAACAGACCTTTTTAATCTCTCCTCCTTCTGTCCTTAAAAAAGCCTGCCTGAGATCTTATTTTCATACATTGTATTTGAATGACTTTTCCTAGATGCTGTGGCCTTGGAGCACGACAATATTTTTCTATCCACAGAGAAAAGAATGAACTTCCGACAGTAAGAGGAAAAAGCATTATTTGTTTAGGAGGCACAATAACCTTCAGACACAACAGCACACTTTGTAACCTCATTAAGAAGCCCCCGTATCACTTTCTGCCCATGTTATTTTACCACCAGACAATGAACATTCTGTAAATAAGGAAGGACATGGAGTATGCTTGCTTATTCCTGTTTGAATTACGCCTTTGTGGAAAACACTAAATAACAGAGCTGTTTTCTGTCTGGAAAACACACACTTCCGAAAATCATAATGAACTCTTAATTAAATAATTAAATAATAATAATTAAATCTTGATTAACTCCAGAGTGATGACATACTACCTGGAAAGGACAACACTTCCCTCAGCTATTTTAGGAATGAGCCGTTCACAGTCCACACAATGGAACATCAGTTTTATGGGATTATTCTGCTTGTACATGCAATTACTAAGGCAAAGTGAAGACAGGGCAGAGCTGACCTAGATTTTTTATTTAGTAGATGTGCTTTTATTAATTTCTCTGCAGCTTTGATGATCCTCATGAAAGAAGATATTAGAATAAATTACTCCCCTGAAATAGATGCCCCAGTGGTCCCCAAGCCGCATGCAAATGAAGCTGTTTAAATACTTGCCCTCCAGATTTCAGATACACATTTTTGCACACGCTGACACACAATCCTGCACTAAAGAAGCCCTTCCCAATCCATATTTTGAGTTCCTGTTGTAATTACCATTTTCAAATTTAGGGCAGGCATTTGTGACACAAAATTGCGTTACTTTTTATACCCCCAAGTTATAAAAGCCACAGCTAAACACAGTCACCTACATCTATATTTAGGCATCTGAGTACAAGTAGCTCAAGTTTTCAAAGCTTGCCGCTGCCTCAGCCTCTGCAAGCCCAAGGGCACATAAGGTTACCAGGATCTTTGTGAATAATGCCACTACTGACATTTCAGTAGTTCAGTGCTGAATAGTGAATTCAGCCCCTTGCTCAAGCTGAAAAATGATCCCTTGCTGGGGCACAGTCAGTAATTAATAACACTTGGAGGTTAAGAAATGAGAAATTTCTACAGTGCATCTCTAAAACTGAGCAAAAGAAACACTGACAGACTTTTCTTCCAGGTAACATCTCCCCTGTCATGGTTTGTATGCTGTGCAGAACAAAGGGGTTAAATGGAATCAAGAAGTTAATCCCCCCCCCCCAAAGCATGTCCCTGATCACGCTAAGAATCACTTCAAAAAGAAATGAGTACGAACGGGGCCAAGAGGAAACTCTCCACTGCCACAAACACGCTGTCTTTGATTCTACAGTGCTGCTCAGCCCCGTCCCCCAGCTCCACCGAGCCCAGCCAAAACTTTCACCTGCCACCTCCCAGGAGGTGACGGTGACACACATTCCCCGAGGCCACTTTCTTAGGAGGAAGGGCAGACAGAGAAGAGCCAGCTGGCCTGGATATTACAGACTGTTGCACTTAGCAGAGAGGACAGTAAGAAACACCCATCTCTTACCCCATCGCAGGGACTCGCTAAGGTGCTGGTCACCTGCTCATAGGCAGCCACGGTCTCCGCAGTGCTAGAATGGCTGAAAGGCTTTACAAAGAGGAAATCGCTCTGCTCAGACATGGGCGAGAAACAAGAGGTGTAATTCTGTGCCTGGGAGGTCAAACCCGCTCCTCCCACGTCCAGGTACTTGATGAAGCCATCTGGCTTCATCTGCCCTCGGAAATGGGAGGCGGGCTTGCGGCCAGTCCCCCGGCAGCAACCCGCCAAGGTCCAGCTGGCACTGCCAGCTTTGAGACACCGGGCAGCCACCAGAGCAAACATCACGCAGGACACAAGGGAAATGGACACCAAGGAGATGATGAGGTAAAGCGTTAGGTTGGTATCCTTGGGAGAAGACTGCGGGAGGTCCAAGGACTTGGAGAAGTCCTGCACGCTGTTTTCCTCCGGAGAAATGACTATTACCACGGAGGCCGAGAGGGACGGTGTGCCATTGTCCCTCACTTCGACCACCAGCCTGTGGGAATCTTCTGACTCCCTGAGAGCCTGTGCAAGCCTTATCTCTCCAGAGCGGCGTTCCACTTGGAAAGGCAAAGCCTCAGCCGTCTCCTGCAGCTGGTAGGACAGCCAGGCATTATGGCCACTATCAGCATCAACTGCTACAACTTTGGTGACCAGATAGCCAGGCTCTGCCAAGGCCGGGATGGCCTGGTGGAAGGCAGAGCCCTTGGGGACAGAGGGATAGACAATGTTGGGAGCATTGTCGTTCTCATCCAGGACGAACACATGGACCACAGCAGTGCTACTCAGCACAGGAGACCCAGCATCCTTCACCTGCACAGGCACCTGGAACACCTTGTCCTGTTCGTAATCCAGAGCTCGCACGGTGTAGATGGTGCCGTTGTCCTGGTCTATTCGGAAGTAGGTTGAGACGGGTACATCCTGCATCCCGTTATCCAGGATGGAGTAAGACAGCTTGGCATTGCTACCCTCATCAGGATCAGATGCTGACACTGAAAAGACAGACGTTCCAGGAAGGGAGTTCTCCTGAACGTGAGCTGTATCAAAAGGGCTGGAGAAGTTCGGGGCGTTATCGTTCACGTCAGCAATGCGGAGGTAAAAGGTTTTTTGTGTGGCCCTCTGGGGGGACCCAGAATCCACAGCCCTCACTGTGATGTTGTATCCACTGGCCTTCTCCCGATCAAGGGGACCACTTGTGACCAGTGAGAAATGCTCTTTAAAAGATGACACCAGTTTAAACGGGAGTTCTTTTGCTATCTGCAGACGGACCTGCCCATTGTCACCAGAATCGCTGTCCTTCACACCGATGAGGGCAATCACAGTGCCTGGGGTTGCATCCTCCTGCACTGGGCTGGAGACAGAGGTCAGCACAATCTCTGGGCTGTTATCATTGATATCAATTAACTCCACTCGCAGGTGACAGTGGCCTTCCATGGCTGGGGATCCCTTGTCCCTGGCTCGAACTGCAATCTCATAAGCACTGGATTCCTCATAATCCAGCAGGGCTTTGGTTCTGATCTCCCCTGTCCGGGGATCTAAGGAGAACAGCTTGGTGAATTTACCAGGTGCGTTATTGCTGGTTTTGAATGAATATTCCACATCCCCGTTGGGACCTTCATCCAGGTCGGTGACATTCAACTTGGTGACCAGAGTGCCCACTGGCACATTCTCCTCCAGATGTACCTTGGATACGGGTGGGTCACAGACAGGAGGGTTGTCATTTGCATCCAGGATATGGATGGTAACCTTGGCAGTGCCAGATTTCACTGGATTCCCTCCATCCAGGGCTGTCAGTGTTAGATGATGAACAGGCACTTTCTCTCTATCCAGTGCTTTTTCAAGTACAATCTCAGGCATTTTAACACCATCCCCTCTCACATTGATGCTCAGGGCAAAATGCTTGCTGGGGCTGAGCTCATAGGTGGAGATGGAGTTGGAGCCCATATCCGGGTCTTCTGCTACCTCCAAGGGTAGCCGAGTCCCAGGGTTGGCCACCTCAGTGATCTCCAGCACCACCTCCGGCTTGGGGAACTGGGGCGCGTTGTCGTTCACGTCGAGGACGTCCACCTCAACACGGTGGAGCTGGAGGGGATTCTCCATGACGAGTTGGAGGTGCAGGGAGCACGTGGGGCTCTGCCCACACAGTGCCTCCCGGTCCAGCCTGCTGTCGAGGAGCAGCACGCCAGCCGCCAGGTCCACCTGGAAGTGCCGCTGCCCACCCTCGCTCACCAGGCGCAGGTTGCGGGCGGCCAGGCTCCGCACCTCCACCCCTAGGTCCTTGGCCAGGTCGCCCACAGAGAAGCCCGGCTCTCGATCCTCGGGCACGGAGTAGTGGAGCTGGGCGCAGCTGGGAGCCGCCAAGCAGGAGAGAGCTGCGAGCAGCAGCGGGAGCTGCCATGGCAAACTCCGTCCCGCGAGCATCCCGTGCCGGGTGTGCGAACGGAGCCGCGCGGAGCGGAGCGGCGGCGGCTCCGCGCAGCCTCCCCCGCCTCCCCGCCCCCGCTGCCGGCCCCGGCCGCCGGAACCCCCGCGCCCCGGGGGGGTCCGAGCGGGCTGTGCAGGGAGGAAGCCGCCGCCGGAGCCGCCGGAGCCGGACAGGGAAGGATGGAGGGGGCGGGGGGGGGGGCGAGCGCAGCCCGGCCGGATGAACCGCTTCTCGGTACGCAAAGACACACAAAGTCGGCGAGCGGAGGGGATGGACCGAGTGACAGTTTTACGTCTCTCCACAGCCCCCTCCTCCTCCTCCTCCTCCTTTTTCTCTCCCTCCTCCTCCCCTTCTCCTTCTCACCGCCTTCCCCAAAATACGCACGGCGTAGCCCCCCCCTTCCCCCGCCGCCGCCACTCCGCCCCCGCAGCGCCGGGAGGGCGCCGGGGACTCCCGGCAGCGGGAACCCCGCTCCGCCCTGCCCGGCTGCTGGCAGAGGGCACCGGCCGCACC